CATTGCTTTACATATCTAGTTACTCTGACTAAATCCACATCAAACTCACCACTGTCAAGTGGGTTTCAACTCATTGAGACACTCCATCAGGTTCCAGGGATTGTAAATATTGATGTGAGGAGACAGCCCATCTTTCTACTGCCGAACACTTGATGGATTCTAACTGCTGACCTTAAGGTCACTAATGCAACATGTAATGCACTGTACCATGCAAGTCATGAGTGGGTCCATGGTGTTGATGTCAACCTCATTTATAGTTAGATGTCCCTGCTGCTCCTCAGGAGTAGATAAAATATTAACTGAAGGATTTACATATGCAGGATATTTTTATAAGGGCATAATGATAACACTAAAATGTAAAAAAGTAAGAACAAAAGCAGACAAAATATTTTCCTTTCATTTAAATCCCACTACCATTGAGTCCATTGTAACCCATAGCCATATTAAAGGAATTATGCTATAGGGTTTCTAAGATTATATCTTTTACACAAGCTGATTGTCACCTCATTCATCCTTGCATGAAGAGGTCAGTGGTTATAACTGTAAACATTTGGGCTGCCAGACAAACTCTAACAACTATACCACTAAACTGCCTTTCAACTTACAATGTAACTGGCTATATAGAAATGTAAATAATTGATATAAAATGGCTAATAACTAGATTAGCATCTGTCAGTTAAGGCAAACAGAAATATACAGAAGGTTTTTGTAGGTTACTTTAGCCAGAAATGTAAATGGGTCTTTAAATCAGTCAAGTAGAAAGGAAGGATGAGGGGATGGTAAGCAAGGCAGAGAATGAACAGAAAAATCTATGACCTCACTTACCACAGTGTCGGTGCTTTCTGTTTGAAGCCTGTAAACACCCTTTCAACCTGAATTTCACATTTTTTACACCTTGGTTTTTCAGAAACAGTGAGCAAAACTGTCTACTCTTCATCTAATCTCTGGAAAAACTTCTTTGTCAACAAAGATTGGCTTCCAGAAGCTGAAGACATTATCATTACTCAAAATGATCTGGAAGCAATATTAAAGTCATGACAAAGTAAATTGTATTTCACCCTACTTTTTTTCCCGTTTCCCTGGCTGTGGAAATAAATAGATCAATACTCTTCAGCATGAGAATTCTGCAGTGAAATGTTCATTTGTAAAAAACAGCAACACCAACAAAAAGCCTTAAACGTGCCCTGTCACTTTCAGTTTAGCAGAAAATGCACTAATAAACTCTTACCCTTGGGTCATCTTTGACAACAGGCAATACCATGCCAGCTCTTATTAAAGACTATTCATATCACTGGCCCAAAAATTTCCTTTAAAATTACCATCTTTCGTATACATGTAACAGGATGTCAGTTTTAAAAGTGCCAATAAGAGATAAGACCTGTCACCATAGTTAATTCTCAACACTGTTTCCACACTGGGACGGCTGACTCCCTAAGGTATGCATTCAGTTAAGAATATGTATTTGGTGGTTATCTAGACAAACAAGAAAATTTATCCCTCTATACTGGTTTGTGAATTAAACAGCACACAAGTATCCCTTGTAACTATGATACATGATAACCTAAAATATGCTGAAGGAAAACACAAAACAGCCAGGTCTACCAACCACGTCTAAAATGCTAGCAGCCTCTAGACAACACATTTAAATCATTACAATATTTTACCCTAATAATTACCATAAAAAAGAAAAATATAAAACAAAATACATGTGTCAGTATTATCTTTAAAGGAAAAACTAGTTAAAAGTTCCTAGGAAAGTTAAGGTTGTTCACTTAACAGATTTCATTGAAGTAATTATTTATTGCATAAGTAACACTCCCAGAACAGTGACAGTGGAGTTGTCTTCAAGTAACAAAAACAGGTTTAGAAAAAAATCCACTCACAGAAATCACATAATTAAGGGAAACCTCAAAATGACAAAGGAAATACAAATTCTCCTGTGAAATCAATTAGCATAAATATATATATATAAATCTTGTACTGAAAAAGCTTTTGATTGTGCCCTTCTACAATCTATTAAATAAGCGCATCACAAAACTACTTTCTCAAAGTATATACATAACTATAAGGTATTAAAAATAACTTTGCTGAACTATTATTAAATGACCCCATCTCATTCATTTGCTCTTTATTGGGAATGCAAATACACTACCTTAAGATAGAGAGAACATGATGACAATAGCACACCCACTTTCTCCTTAATTTATCACATATTAATCATGCAGAAGATAAGCCAAGGACACCTTCAGGCTTTGGAAAGTAAGTTTGGTAGAGAGTTGCTAGAAGGAAGATCAGCAAAAACAAGATGCAAAAATGGATGTACAGGTGATAATAACTCTTTCTCCCTGAACAACGGAGTCAAATGCTATAAGGTTTTTTTATTGTTCAATAAATTGGTTACAATTTCATGAACTTGCGTGCATGCCATAAGGCAACTCTGGGGACACGTGAGATGTTAAAATAAAAACAGTCATATCCAATTTATAAAGAAGCTTTCTTTTCTTTATTCTGAAGATCAAGCTAAGCAAGGCAAAAGCATACAAGAGGCTAATAATTTCATTTAATAATGTTAATATGTGAGAAAGCTGCAGTTGAAAAGACATAGCTATGCACGAGGAGATAAAAACACGGGGTTAAATTCTGGCTCAGACAATTATTAGATTTTTCTTGCTCTGGGCAAGTCATCAAATAGTCTGAATTTCAATTTCCGTCCCTGTAAAAGTATTAAAGGTTAAAGTATTAAAATCAAGTAAATCTGAAGATGAAATAATGTATGTAAAAGACATTAGATGTCAAGCATTATGAAATATATTAACTTGAATATAGATGTAGCTAATATTCTCCATGTAGCCTCTGGGCCTTGGCATATGATGTGCTGTCTGCCTGTTAGCAAGTCTTTCCTGTACTCTTACTTTTGGACTTCCACCTCACATCCAGGCAGCAGTCTTTAAATCTCCAGATTTTATCAGAGAGAAGATTCACTCATCACGGCCTTCTATAACATCTCAACCTACCGTATTCTTTCCACTAAGAATATTTATTTGGTGGTCGGAGACAGTGCGATTGGCACAGGACAGAGCAGAGTTTAGGGCTGTTGTACATAGGGTCACTATGAGTCACAAGCGACTCGATGGCACATAAGAACAACATCTGGACAAACAAGAAAATGTATTCCTCCATATTGCTTTCTGAATAAAACAGCACACAAGTATCACTTGGAACTATGAGATATATAATAACCTAAAATATGCTGAAGGAACACACAAAACTTGAATTTTATAGTTTTGTTAGAGTCATCCAAATTACTGCTTATAAATATTTCTATAATTTACTATTTTTGCCTATTTGAGTTTATTATCTGATGTTAGATACTTCTTACTGTTTTCCATTAAATTTTCACATGGAAGGCAGTTATCTATAATTTTTAAAGTAGCAATTCAATTGTCACTTTATTAAAAATGCCTTTCAAATACACTTTAATAAAAATATCAGTTGTTGTTATGTTTTTCATTTTTCTTCACTGTACATAGTTTGGCCTTGATGATACTTTTACATTCTCTTTCTACGTGGTGTGTTTAACATACCTCAATGTTTAGTGACATACAGTATCAAATTCACAACCAGTGAAGAGAGCCTGGGTTAAAGCAACTGCATATTACGTTTGTAAAGTTATAAATTATAATGAGAAGAGATTACTAATTTTTCTCCCTTGGAACAACTACTAGATTGGAACTGCCAGAGACCCAGTCTTTTGGTGAGCAGCATAACACCTTATGGATTATGTCAATAGTTGCTGATGTTATGTGCTATAAAGTCACCTACAACTCATAGAAACTTTACACAGAATGTCTCTGAACTCTGTCCTACCCTGAGCCAGTCTCACTAGCTCCACTCACTAACCCCAGCTACTGTGTTAATCCATTTCATCTGGAGTCTTCCTCTCCTACATTGTCTCTCCACCCTTCCAAACATGATGTTTTTTTCCAAGGACTGGTGTCTCCTGACAACATGCCCAAATTATATAAGATGGAGCTTGAAAAGCCTTGCCTCCAAGGGGCAGCTAAGGTTTCACCCTCTCCAGGATATACTTGTATCTTCCCTTGGCCATCCATCAAATATTCAACTCTCTTCCCCAGCACCACAACTCCAAGGTATTGATCCTTCTTCTGTCTTTCTTACTCTGTGTCCAGCTCTCTAATACAAAGTAAGTAACTGTAAAGATCATGGCCTTGACCAGGTACACCTTAGTATCTAGACTGACATCCTTGCTCTTTAGCTGTCTAGATAGGTCCCTGAGAGCATATTTTTCCAATGAAATTAATTTTTTTTAATTTTCTGACTGCAGGAACAATAGTGTATATTGTGGAGCTGAGCAAGCTGAAATTGTTAACTATCTCAATGTCCTCTCCATCTATCATGGTGTTGCTCATTGGCCCGGTGGTGGATATATCTGTATACAAAAAATATGCATTAAAAAAGTCCTGTCCATTACCCAAATGTCCTCAGAATCTGAAGGAAGACTTAACACTTCTAACATTATAAGACTGATTGGGGCTTTGATACTGTTAAAATTTTTAGGTCAATAAGGACAAAAGAACTTTGAGCATAGTCTCATAGCTGATTCTTCAAAGAACAAAAACAGTAGGTTCAGTACCTTTATAAGAATAATTAATCTAAAGTTAAGAAGTAGAAGATTTTGACTGAGAATAAGGTATTTCATTTAGGCAAATTAAAAATTTCATGTGAGAAAGATAGAAAAGCTTTGTGCAGTTTTTAGCCTCTGAAAACCCGCTGTGGGATCAACCTGAGTCGGATCCAACAGCACATAACAACTACAATCATAATTTTACTTTAAGATATTATCAGAAATTCATAAAAACATGACTTTTAAAAAATGAAATAGAGAATACTGCCATTCAAGATTTATTCTATATCTACAGAGTTGGCTTTGTTCTCACAAATCTATGTGGTTTTATGAAATGAAAACAATTATACATTACCTCTCACAATAAGTTGAGCAAAATTGGATACACCAGAACCTCGTTCTGACTGTGTTACACAACGGTACAAATCCTGGTCAGTCTTTGTCACTTCTTGCAATCTAAAGGAGGCAGCAAATCTTCTGTGATTGATGTTCTTAGTCTGGGCTACTGGAATATCTTCTCCATTCCGCCTCTGCAAATACAAACAGGTCTTTAGAAACAGGTTCTCAGCCTTAACAATCAAGATCTCTGAAAATTTATTTGTGCTGTTAAATTAGGGAGAAATTTAGATTTCTATTCCCCCCACAATATTGTCATACAATCAGGAAAGAATGTAGGTAAATACTGGAATATTTCAAAAGATGTAGGGCTGACATTATGGAAATAACCACTTCCCTTAATATTGCAACTAGCCCACAGTGTATCTGAATTAAGAGCGCAGTCAATGGTGCAACGGCAAAGAACTTATTGAACCTCTGTTTGCCCATTCTGCCATAGAAAATGCTTTAGCTTCCCTTAGAAATAACACAAACACAAATTCTTACATTCAATCTGAATTTTTAAATTTTTATATTGTAAAAGATACCACAAAACACAGGTAAAAATCAAAACTGAGAAAATTCTTTATGATCTTCAACCTGAATTCTTGTCTGTGAATGATCAATAAATCAATGGAATGTACTCTCCATACTTTTTGACATGAGAAAACACAAAACTAAAAGTCCAGATGGAAATAAACATTTAAATAAATTTCAAAAATAACATTTAATAAAGCTGAAGTGTATAAACTCAGCAATTGTAGGTTTAGGTTTGTACATTCAAATTCTGAATGCATATGTGATCATGAAAATATGTGTAAGACCTTTTCAGCATTGTTTACAGGAATTATGTTTGGGAAAGATGAAAATATCTCTGGGTAGAAAAATGTATGAATAATCCATGATTTATTCATTCAATAACATAAACTAGATCACCTCCTAAAAGTGAAAAGGCATATGTTCACGAAAATTTATTGAAAGAGAAAAAATCAGATCTCACAGGCAGGGGAAAACATCTTCTGGAATGATATCCTTAAATCTAATCTTTAAAAGTATAGAGAAAACTTCAATAACTCAATAGTGAAAATACAATCAAATTTAAAAAACAAAAAAAAGGAAAAATACATGAACAGACAATCTACCTAAAAGAGCCAACACACATAAAAAGCCACTGCACAAGCATAAATCAAAACCACAAAGAGTTGCCATCTCACCCGTATAAAAAGTATTGGTAAGGCATTAGGAGAGGAAACAAATACTAGTGAGATAATGTGGAGACTGGAATTCAACCCCTCTAATAGGGATGTAAATTGGTTCACACACTATAGAAAATAATGTCACTTTCTTTAAAAGCTAGAAATATAATTAGTCGATGAAGCAGCAATGCCATCATTAAGCATAAACCCTAGAAATCTATTAGCAGTGACACAAATAGAAATATGCACTCTTAAGTTTATGCAACAATATTCACAATAGCAAAATGAAAGAACATGTGATGTAATGGATATATTGTTAAAAATGGCTTTGCGAGGGCACTGCCTTTGACTTTTGCCACATGACTGGGAAGAACAAAGAAATAGGAGGTTTTTTCTACCGATGAGGAGATTGGCCAATTCTGCCAACCCATTTATTTTAATTTCAGCAGGACCATCAACGGAAATTGGAAAGCAGTAAAGAAGGAGAGAATGCACACATCCTTCGGGGCCAGGGATTACTGTGCCAGACGGAGACATAAATGATATCAGCAGGAGCCACACTGGAGCACCAGAGACCAGCATGGAGTTGGGCTGAATTGGGACTGCCGCCTAAGAGAGTCAGGGGTCTTCCCCTGAGCTTGCTGGAGGTTTAATGGAAACATCATAACTAGCAATACAAAGGGAATTTTTGTTTAAATGGCCTAACCTGTGAGGTTAAATATCAAAGGGCCTGCAAACACAACTAGGGAACTCTCCTGACTGAGGAATTTTATCCTGGTAGGACCTCTACTGTAAAATATTAACTTCCTATTTTCAACTTTTTGAGAAAGCGCCACACTGCTTTCCACAGTGGTTGCACCATTTTACACTCCCACCAACTGTGAATAAGGGTTTCAGTCTCTCCACAACCTCGCCAGCATTTGTTGCCTGCTGTTCTGTTAAATTTTGCTAGACTTACTGGGGTGAGAGGATATCTCATAGTTGTCTTGATTTGCATCTCTCTCAGAGCTAGGGATTTTGAACATTTCTTCATGTGCTTGTTGGCCATCTGAATGTCTTC